GGGGGGGAGGGATGGCAACGATAGCGTGGGTGGGGTTTGTAGCATCTTTAGCGACGTGTGTGATGCTAACATCGTGGATCTAGGTTTGGTAGAAGAGATCTATGGTTTAGTGGGGTAGATCTAAATTTTTTTCGATTTCATGTCTACATATGTCTGTGGGTGTCTATTGGGTGTCTATGGTGTCTGACGGCTATGGTTGAAAGGAGGAGTTAGAGTTTTAAGAATATTAACTTTCTACGGTTGTCTATACGTGACTACGGTCTACTACGGCTTTCCTACGGTTTTCAATAGATGAGTATGGCCGAATTTTTTTTTAAAAAACCATAATTTCAATATTATGTAGAAAAAAGGAAAACAAATAGATTTTTATAATTGTGAAAAAAATAGGAAAATGCAGAAAAGAAAAAAACATATTCTAAGAAAAAGAATAATAACAAAAATGTTAGATGCAAAAATTAAAATATTAAATGCAGAATAAAAATAATAAATACAGTTTAAATATTAATTGGTGCAAATATTTTACTTTTTGAGTATGAGGGGTATTTTTAAAATGAAATTTATAAAGAATGTATAAAGCAAATGTTTAATTTGATTTGTTATTTAATTCTAATCACCAAACACCTATATCTTAAAGCTCCTTTAATTAATCACACATCATCTATATCTTAAAGCCCATTTAATCAATCACACATCATTATTAACCATAAAGTAACTGGTTTTCATTTCAGTTTGATGGAAGCTAATTAGTTATCATCCATACAGGGAATGCCGCGTGTCCACCTTTCTACATTAAGCAAATCCCACCAATCCATATACGTACACCAATAATCTCGTTTTCCTCTCTCTGTCGCAACTCGCAATCAATTATTATTCTGCTTTTTTTCTTTCTATCATGCTGATATATATATTTATACATGCATTATCTGATGTATATTTATACATGCATTATCGGTGTTAATTAAATATTAAATGATGTCTATTATATATCTAATAGTTTACTCTTCTTTTGGATTATTATCAATTAAATATCATTTCAACATCTGTTACTGTTCTGGAGCCCTAATATAATTCTTCACCAATTAATAATTTTTTTTCTTTAATATCATCAACCATTATAATAATTAGCATGCATGTTCTATAAGTACATTCATTCATTTGTGTGTTGAAACATATATATCTTCATATTTCATATACTTAATTGCAAAATCAAATTAGTCATCATGTCCTTGTGCAGTACAACCAGGTTTCACATGAGCTTGTTTCTTCTAGTTGCTACCACCTTAATTATCTTTGATAAGTTCGTCCATGCAACACAAATATTATATACTCATCATGATCATCATCACTCATCTTCTCTTGTCTTGGCCTTAACTTATTCCAGTACTACAACAACAACAATCCCCACCCCGAAAACCACCTCAAAAAGACCATCAAATTATGCCGATCATATGACCGAGCCACTCAAAGAAGTTAGAGATGGTTACATCATATCCCTCAATTTAGGGACACCCCCACAAATCATCCAAGTCTATCTAGACACCGGAAGTGACCTTACGTGGGTCCCCTGTGGTAACCTATCCTTCGATTGCATCGATTGCAACGACTATAAAAACAACAAGCTGCTAACCGCTAGTATTAGTTTCTCTCCTTCCCATTCCTCCTCTTCTCTAAGGGATTCTTGTTCGAGTCCCTTTTGCACTGACATACACAGCTCCGATAACTCCTTCGATACTTGCACTATTGCAGGTTGCTCTTTGACCACCCTACTTCGATCCACGTGTTATAGGCCATGCCCTCCATTTGCTTACACTTATGGTGAAGGAGTTGTGGCCGGAACTCTCACTAGGGATACTCTTCGAGTCCATGCAACTACTAATTCTATAAGTAGGGATATTCCAAGATTCTGTTTTGGCTGTGTTGGTTCAACATATAGAGAACCTATAGGGATTGCGGGGTTCGGAAAAGGCCCTCTATCACTCCCCTCTCAATTAGGGTTTTTGCACAAGGGTTTCTCCCATTGCTTCTTGCCTTTCAAATATGCAAACAACCCTAATATTTCAAGCCCTTTAGTTGTGGGTGACCTAGCAATATCCTCTAAAGAGTACATGCAGTTCACCCCAATGTTGAAAAGTCCAATTATGTACCCAAATTACTACTACATTGGTCTAGAGGCAGTAACTGTAGGAAATGTCAGTACTGCACCACAAGTAACTTTGAGAGAGTTCGATTCATTTGGCAATGGTGGCATGATTATAGACTCTGGTACAACTTACACTCATCTACCAGAGCCGTTTTACTCACAGCTTCTCTCGATACTCGAGTCGGTAATAAATTACCCTCGGGCTACAGAAGTGGAGGAACGGTCGGGATTTGATCTTTGTTATAGAATCCCATGCAAGAGCAATAATATTTTAGGTGATGAAGATGAACTTCCTGTTAGATGGGTGTGTGTATTTTGAAATGGGAACGAACAAAATTTGGACAGAAGTTTGACAAGAAAATGTAGTCGAGGCAAGAACTAGGTTCTTTCTCCTTAAGACAAATTTGCCCCGTACAGTGCTCTCGGTTTACGGCAATCGTCTCCCAAGATACAACGACTATTTCAGTTCCAACAAAGTAGCACACCAATTATTGGAACACGGCGAACGAAACGACGTTTAGGACTTTATAAGACACGGAGAAAAGGACTTGATAATGCAACAATATGCAATGAGA